TTTTAAAGGACATTCAAAATTTAAATCATATTGTTTTCATGTTTTGTTCTAGATACAGCTCCTGCTTTGAATTCCATAAAGTATTGTAAGTATATGTCTTTGTTCTTGCTTTATTATACTTTATATTCATTTACAGTAATATGTTTGTTATGTTATACTGTATATTATGTAACACATGTTATATGTTTATTTGTATGCAAAGAACACGTTTCTGAGAGAAATATCCAGCTGTAATGCTTGGACTTCCCTCTAAATCCTTCAAATATTTTGTCTGAGGGGAAGTTTGTAACCCATCTCTTCCTGCTTTAATTTAAATTTGCTTAAGATAAAATGTCAGTGGTAGCTGAACTCTGAAGGTTAAAACTAAACAAGATATTGGATGGGGACATTTTGAGAACTAAGATATAAAGCAACAAAAAGCAGTAAGCTGATCTTTTACTTTTATAATCCATGGTTCCTTTCCAATGCTCGATTTCCACCGTCAAAAGTATCTTCTGCAGTTACGTATGTGTAATTGATAACAATGGTGTAAAGAACTATGCTGATATATCCTTGAAACATCGTAAAATAGTGGTTGGTGTTTTTTTTCTTTTCTTTTCTTAATAAAAGAGCCTTTTTGGAAAGCAAGAATTCTGTGAATATGAATTAGAAAGTTTGAAAAGTAACCAAGTAAAGTAATTGTCAAATTGCTATCCTAATGTTCAAGTTGAGCTTTTCCACACAGGAAATTTGGGGAAATAGTTTTTCTGTGCCCTCCCATTCATTCATAAAAATTATCCTGGCAGGCAGCCAACTTCACCTGCTCTTTATCTGTGATACAAGTGGCAATTTTGTTTTTACCATTTGCTGTTTCCCTTGCCACTCACTCTGTGCAGTTGATTCCTGTCAGTTCCATAACCATTTCAGCATCAAGTAAAAATAAGTTACTCTTCAAGTAAAAATAAGTTACCCATTGGTTCTAGTGCAGTTTCTGCATGATTGCTATGCTCCACTTTTTTGTCTGTTTGTTTGAACTGGTGTTTTGTGTTCTGCTGTGTAATATGACAACAAAATATGATACTCCTCTTTTGTCAGATGGCCTTTTCTTTGAATTTATATACAAAAATAGCAATAGTTGTTAATGAGCTGTATGTGTGGTTATCTTTTTTAAAATGTAGGTGTGGATTTTAACAAGTAACATGAATAGATTGGGGCCAGCTTACACATATTTTGATGAGACATCCTACAGCTTGTGATGTCATACTCCTGTTTTGTTTGGGGGGGTTGGGTTTTTTTAACGTGTAAAATACATTATATAACAGAATACAGGATGATGTCAGACTTTGAAGCACTCAGCATCTCTTTGGTGATTAAATGAACCTGCATGAATCACTGTACCGGTGGTTTGTGCACATCTTTGCTCAAGGTGTCTCTCATTTGGGGAGGATGGTCCTGAATGTCTGATTAAATAGGACTGTTAGTTTGTAAGACCTGAGCAGAGCTGTTGACCTTTTGGAGGTGACCTGTGTTTCTGGGCACAATTCAAAGTGCTGGTTCCAACTGATAAAGTCTTAAACAGCTTGGATCAAAGCTGTTTCAAAGACTGAGTGTCCCTTTATGAACGTGCTCCGGATCATCATGAGAGATCTTTCTCTTGGTCTCACCACCTTCACAGGTGCATTTGGTGGGGACACAGGAGAGGACCTTCTCTGGTGCTCCTCCCATACTTTGGAACTCCCTACCACAGGAGGCCAGGGAGACCTCATCTTTGCTGTTTTTCCAAATGTCGGCGAACATTCTTCTCTTCTGGCAAGCTTTCCTTCACTGACTGGCTGCCTAAGTGGGGTTGTTAAATGGACTGTTGTGCCTTACTGTTTTGAATGTCTTTTTGTTTTTTGTTTACTGTGTTCTGGTGTTGTATTTGTTTGATCTTTTTTACTTACTCTTTTTTGTTTATATACTGTATTGTCTTTTAATGATCTAAGCTGCCTTGAATCCTTTTTAAGGAGAAAGGAGGGGGGAAACATTTTAAATAAATAAATAGGAAGTGACTTGACTGCATAAAACAACATAACATGATCTCATGTCACTCACAACTGAAATAAGAATGTACATTATGCAATTCCTCTGTCTCTTTGGAAAAATATACAGTGTTCAAATGCAACTTTCAATTTTTCATTGTGAAAATGGTGTCCCAATTCAAGTTTCATGATAGGCCATTCCCTTTTACCCACAGACAGGGTTGGCAAGATAACCCACTGTCTGACCTTGCCACAAAAACTCTGCATAAATGTATTATCAGCCAATTCCTCATGGCATCATACAGGCAAACATTCCAGAGCAGCTCTTTTCTTCCTAACTCCTACGTGAACTACCGCGCACCACGCTAGGTTCCCGTCTCCAAAATTTTATGTGATACTCCTCTAACAATTTCAAATTCAAACTCAATTTCGTCCTTCCTGGGCCAATGCAAATTTGCCAGTGCCATAATCCACCAGCAGAGTTCTTTTTGGGCCTAACCCTCCAGCACAGGCATGCAATGTGTTTCCAGAATTCTCAGAGCCAGAAGGCAAGAAGGAGACGAATACGTCTCCTTGCTGCCGTGTGTATACACCTATCCACAGTGAGCTCTGTGAAATTTTATTTAAACACTCCTGGAACAGGGAGGGGGCAGGAGAACTTATATTATCCATATAGCAAGGCAATTTAAATTTTTGTTTTGTTTTCCATTTAAAGCAATGAAAATAACTTTTTCTTCTTTTTGCCTATAGTTAGGCAAATCTTTTAATTTGACTTTCCCTTCACCCCACCCCAGACACATACCTCAGGGATAAGCAGGTAGCAGAATATGGTGCCAGTACATATGGGCTGCTGGTCACCAGCTCTGGAGGAGAATGAGCAGATGGAAAACTATGATGCTGCCATGCATACATGGTATGGGTTCCCCAGGACCAGGTGGAGCACCAAATTCAAACTTCCTATTACAAGAGCTTTTCTTGGTAGTTAAAGGAAATACCCACTCCAAAGTACTCTTCATGACTTAAGCACCACCACCACCACCACCACATCCTCTGAGACTCACCATCTCTCCCTAAGCCTCTCTAACCAAGTGAATACAGTTAAAAAAAACCCCAGCAGTATAGTGTACACAGGTTGCACCCACTACACTAACTGCAACGATACCCCACATACACACTCACACCCACCCACCCCACTGCCTATTTACTAGGCTGTCTTGCTAGCACAGCCCTAGTAGTAGCTAGTTTATCCCAGCTAATCAGCTGGCAACCCCCACCCATGTAAGGATGTGCAATGCCTGCTTCCCAGGGACCCGCCCAGACTATCTAGCATGGAAAAAGTGGAATTAAGAAGTTCAGTTTCAGAAGATCAAACAACTGCAACAACCATGCAAGTAGACCAAACCTGGCCCATCCCCACCCAGCCTGGCCTATCTTTAGACCAAATTGCAAAGCAAGATCTCCACAACTCCACAGGAAGTATTTGACTACCCCCCAGCATACACAGGCCACACAAAGATGCTGTTTCAGCTAAGAAGATACCCCTACCACCAGCAGTGCCAGTCCTAAACAGAGAAGAAAAAGGAAAATTCACACCTATTCATCAACAATTAAAAAAACATTAAGCTCCAAACAATTAGAAAGAGAAAAATAGAACTTTATACAGTATTTATAACTTATAACTTTCACTGCACCCACCCAGAGCACAGTGGAGAGACCCTCTTTGAGCGTGAGCACAATAAAAGAAAAATAAGGGAGGAGATAATAGCCCTCACCCTCCCACAGAAATAAGCAGTCACTCAAAATACCATCAAGGTATGTTATTGTCACACACACCCAGTTCCCCTGCTTGTTCTTCCACACAACCCAGGATCACTTTCGGGTATGACATTTATTTCTCAACCCTTTTCCGCTGCCACCAGAGGAGTTATTCCTCACTATACCAAATATGACTCTTAAATCAGTGTTATTCAATAAAATAATGTTTATTTAAGTGTTTATAAATCAATCATGTAACATAAATCATGGATGGTCTTATTTTATTCATTCAATCAACTGTGCTTTGGTAACATTTATATTTGCTTAGGTAGAATCATGTTAATCAAGGTATTTATTCATTTCATATCTTGTTCTCTATCTCTCTGTTCTTCTCTAACACAAGACTGGTCCTAACTGCCTAAACTGCTTCTCTCTAACTCAAGTCCCTAACTCATCCCTAACTGAAACTCTGACCTTTAACTGACTTCCATTCTTCTTATATTTCCTTAGTCCCGCCTCTTTTGTACAACCATTGGCTGCTGAATCAGGGTTCCATTGTGATGGACAGGAGTGGTCACAGTTATCTGTGCACCTTTAACTGAAAGAATTAAATACAGTGGAAATTACAGCCAACCAAAGATCTGGAAAGAAGAGCCCTCCCTTGCCAAAGGAATCTAGCAAGCAGAAAAAATATCACCCAAATTCATCTTTTAACAGAATCAAAATAATATACATACTAAATTAGCCGAAAAGTTATGTAGTATACAATAGGGAAAAACAGTGCAACCTGCTGAAATAAATTTAGCAAACAGAATACTATAGTCCCTCCAAATATTCAACTTTAAAAAGGATAAATATATACATAAAAATAGCAAAATAGCAATGTAAAAAACAGTGCATACACACACTCATACACATAAGAGAAAGACATAACAAGCACAGACATGCGCACATACACCCACAGAGCCCTCTGTCCCAAAACCAAGGAAAAACAAGCAAACAAGTCATAGAATAATAGAGTAATGAATTTGGAAGGGAGGGGCTATATGGCCATCAAGTCCAATCCCCAGCTCAATGCAGGAATACAAATCAAAGCATATCTGCCAGGTCTACATTTTTCTTGAGTTTCTCCAGTGTTGGAGCACTAACCACCTCTCTCCAGGTTCAATTGTTGTACTACTCTAACAGTTAGGATGTGTTTCCTAATATTCAACTGAAATCTTCCTGTAACTTGAGCCCATTGCTGCATGTTCTGAACTCTGGGATGATCAAGAACAGAACCTGCCCCTCTGTATAATAGCCTTTCAATTATTTGAAAAGTGCTATCATA